GCTTCATGGGCAGCATTTGTGCACAAGTTCTGGGTGACAGCAAGTTGTGCTCATTCTGCAGATGAGCAGCAAGAAAGCTTTGCTCCTCCAACCTCTGTGGTCAGGAGCCAAAGAAACCAATATGAGTTGAACAGACTGTCATGTGGTTCATTTGCAAAGAAAAAGAAAGGGGTGGGGGGAGACAGGAGGGGTGCGTCTGAGTGTTTTTCATCCTGTTGAAAGAAGAAAGCAAAGGGAACTAACTGTGAGGACCCAGCCTGCCTGTTTCACAGATGGCAAAACCAAGGTACCGCCTTTCTGGAGGCCGTTTGACAGCAGTGATTAGGGGCAAACTACTAATCCCCCTTGAAGGCGGAGTAGCTGCCTTCTCCAAGAAAAAGCAAGAAACAAAGGGACTTCCCTGGTGGTCCAGTGCTCAAGACTCCACGCATTTCCACTGTAGGGGGCACAGGTTCAATCCCTGGTCGGGGAACTAAGATCCCACGTGTGGCAAGGCCAAAAAAACAAAAGAAAAGAAAAAGCAAGAAACAAAGGCCAAGGCTGAGTGCTGGAGCAGAAACATCAAGCTTCATGCCCTCCTTCCCCCTTCTCTGATGAGAACTCAGTCACAACAGCAAGACCCCAGCTGTCACAGAGTCTAGTCTCTGCTCTGTATTACATTTTATTTATTTATGTTTTTCTTAGCACTGGGGGCATGTGACAGGTAGCAAGCCCGAGGGCTCTGCCCCAGACTGGGGTGACATCTGGAACACTCCTTCACTTCGTTCCCTGAGTTTTGAGGGAGAAGGAGAGGGAGCCAGTTATTCAGGGCTCACCCCGCCCATGGATTAAGCCAAAATCGCTTGTGGAGCTGAAGTCATGGCCAGAATTACCACTAGTTATCCTCCAGATCACTGAGCAAGTCCTATTTTTCTCGAGGTCGGTGGTGGCTTTTGGTGTCCATGCTTATGTAACTTGGACAAAAAGAGAGAAAGAGAGAAAGAAGCGGAGGAGGAGGGAGAGGAAGATAAAGGAGAAGGAGAAAGAAAACATTATTGTAGAGAAAGGATGGGGAAAAAGTGAAAAGTCAAAAAGGAAGTGGAAATAAAAAAAGAGAAAGCAGAAAAAAATGGACTTACAGGGAGGTGTCAATTAGTCACTTTGCATGGCAACGATTCTCCTGTCACTTTAGACTTTCAAACCAAGGAAGAGCAGCCTCCATATTAGTTTCCTATTGGTGCTGTGACAAAATATCACAAACGCCGTGGCTTAAAACAGCACAAATTTATTATCTTACAGTTCTGGAGATCAGAAGTCCTAAATGAGTCCAAACTAGGTCTCACTGGGCTAAAATCAAGCAGGACTGCTATCCTTCTAGAGGCTCTAAGGGAGAGTCCTTTTTTTTTTTTTTTGCATTTTTCATCTCCTAGAAGATGCCTACGTTCCTTCATTCGTTTCCATTTTCAAATCCCATAGCAATCGGAAAAGTCCTTCTCCCATCATGTCACTCTGACACTGACTCTTCCACACTTAAAGGCCCCTGTGATTGTATCAGCCCCACCAGGAAAATCCAGGATAATCTCCTTGTTTTAAGGTCTCCTGATTAGCAACCTTAATTCCCTCTTGCCATGGAAGGTGACACTATCCACAGGTTCTGGGAATTAGGACATGGGCCTCTTTGGTGCCTCTATCACAGCCTCTTATTAAAAAAAAAAGGATACAAATGACCTTATTTACAAAACAGAAACAGACTCACAGACTTAAAGAATGAACTTATGGTTACCAGGAGGCCAGGAGGGAAAGGTAGGCGGGGAGGGATAGATTGGGATTGACATGTACACACTGCTCTATATAAAACAGATAACCAACAAGGACCTACTGTAGAGCACAGGGAACTCTGCTCAACATTCTGCGATAACCTATATGAGGAAAGAATCTGCAAAAGAATGGATACACGTATAACTGAATCACTTGGTTGTACACCTGAAACTGACACAACACGGTTAATCAGCTATGCTCCAATATAAAATAAAAAATTTTTTAAAAATGTTGCAAAGGGTCAGGAGGCTGGGTCGTCCCTTTAATGTTAAGATCTTAAAGAATGGGAAAAAAGAACTATTTCTCCAGAAAAAAAATTTGAGGTGGGTGAGTTCCGTCTCCTGGGTAGCATTTGAGTTCCCCCCAGTGCCTGTCCTCCCTCCCGGCATTCACACGTCAGGTCAGGCTAGGCTCACACTGCGATGGGCTCACTAGGGTCCCCAGGGCCAACACACCCTTGGGTCTCCCTGACCTGGGCGTGCTCTCTCTTCCCTTCCACCACAACAAATTCACTTATTCCAACTCTCCTCCCTTCAAAACTCACATTCTCTCCCCCTAGTGTGTAGAATAAATGTATGGCTTCAAAGTATTTGCATTCATTTGTCAATAATACGTTAACTTCCTCGAGTGATACTAAAAGACACGGTTTTGAATCAGCTTTGGGGGAAATGTGTCTGTTGGAGGTGCTTATACTCCACGAATCCCACCACATAAACCTGTCCTGCATAGAGCCGGCCTGGTTTAAAAGTTCAGGTCCATTTGTGCCCAGAAGATAGCCTGGTATGTCTACACAGAGAAACCATTTAAGCATCATATGAGAGTAGGAATTTATAAAACACTGAACCCTGGTATTCCTCTACTAGGACTGTAAGAAGTAACACAATTTTATCCTGATGTCTGAGAAAAGTTCTACATTTCCCCTGTGATGTGTTTTTTATTTTCCCAACAGCTGTTTGAAATGGAATTATGTACCTTTTTTCCAGACCTTTTCATCCTCCTTATCAAATAATGATTGCACCACAAAATAGAGAGGGAAAAGAAGTGAGCTTGACATTCTGGCCTCCTAAGTGTCATTGATACTACAATCAAGGTGAACAACCATTTTCCGCTGGCATCCCGTGTCTGAAGAATCTCATGAATTTAAGGACTCACTATAGCGGATATTCTGCCACGAACAGAAGCAAATGCAAGAAAAATCTATTAATCTTGGGGGATGAGTTTGAAAATGAATAGCCCAGGGCCAGGGAATGGAGGGTGAGGACTGTGCCTTTCTTTCCCTCTCGTCTCCTTTGCCACATGAGCTGTCAGAGCAGAGGCAGACGATCTGGACCTAACGTTCTTTCTCAGCACCTGCTGGCCCAGGATCTGGAGAATGAACGGGTCCTGTGGATAAAGGCAGCATTGAGCCACATGGGACAGTGACAAGCAAGACTCACATCCATAAAAGCAGACCACATGCCGACGTCATGGGACCAAAGAGTCAGTGGTGAGCTATCAAATTCAGGTGAGATACAAGCGGGTGTGAATTTCCGTGCAAAAGGCTGAAAGCAGGGGTCTTGAAGTCTTATGCAAAAGCCCCCCACTGTGGGGTTATCTAAGAGGTTAACCCCACATAGTCTAATAGTCTAACGAGCTAGTATGAAATAACCTATGTGAGACCTCCCTTGTTTTTCTGTTTTTTGTTTTTTTTTTAATCATGATTGGGCTTCTAACTCCTAGTAGATGGACTGAACACGAAAGAACACCAAGTAACCCGGGGGAGTCACACAAAACGGGTCAATGTTCATTTCTCTTCTTCTGGGGAAACATTCAGCATATCAGAATGCATGATGGAAAATATGCTTGATTAACCAGAAAATCATGGCAGCAGAAAATTTAAGAAAAAAAATCAAGGGAAGGAAACCAGTTGCTCGTGGACACACATAATGATTAACCCGCGAAGTTTCAAAGAACTTTCTAGGCCAACCTCAGACACAAATCTGCCAGAAGGTAGGTCTTGACACAAAGTGAACTGGAGCATATGGTATCTTAATAGTATGTTTGGCTTTGGAAATGCATAAGATAATAGGTCCTGATAATTAAAACAGCACATTGTTTATAGGTATAACTTGATCTGGGACATGTTGCTAGAAACTGTAGCAAGCACAGTGTTTCTTGCAGGACTACTTATCTATCTGAACTTGAAACATATTCTAAATTACTTCTCTCACCTAATCAGTTGGGTAAGTGCTATCTGTTGGGTAATGAACAGGTTCAAAGTTCTCCTGGATCGTTTTGAGGTGTGTAGGTGGAAATCTGGACAGCTACATATACGATTACACTGGAGACAGTCTCCAATGGCAACTCTGCTAGGGACCAAGACTGCGCAATCAACCAACCGTGATTGATTTCAAGGTTTTAGAGGCATTTTGTGACCCTCTCTAAATGATCAACATCCTGCTACATATGGAGACCCGGATATTTAAGGGTTATTGCTCAGTAACCAAGTAATTTGCATTTCAAGACATCTACTTGGCTCACTAGGAGAAATGGTGGAGAAACGTCTTTCAAGGTATGTGTTTTGCCAATTCTCTGTCATCCAGCCTTTTACCATTTTCATTACTAATTGTATATACATGGAAGAATTTCATTTAGATGTCTGGCCTGAAGTGAATGTCTCCAAATATATATCTACGAATTAGCCACTGGGGGAAAAGTACTGAAGAAGGTATCAAATTACCCTTGCATGATGAAATTCTAACTAGTGGGATAACAGCGGGAGTTCTTCAGAATAAGTTGTCCACAAAGAGGAAAGCAGAGAGGACAATAAGTGTTTCAAGAATTAGTAGGCATTCTTCTAAAAAGTCCCAGGAGGCCTCATGAGAAGACAAACTTCCTATTTATTTGGAGTCCTTGATTCTACAAACATATTGGGGCTTACAGCATGCATAAATGGCTTGAATCTTCCCAATAAAAAAGAACACCATAAGAAAACTAGCTCTAGGGGCTTCCCTGGTGGAGCAGTGGTTGAGAGTCTGCCTGCCAATGCAGGGGACACGGGTTCGTGCCCCGGTCTGGGAAGATCCCACATGCCGCAGAGCGGCTGGGCCTGTGAGCCACGGCCGCTGAGCCTGTGCGTCCGGAGCCTGTGCTCCGCAACGGGAGAGGCCACGGCAGTGAGAGGCCCGCGTACCGCAAAAAAAAAAAAAAAAAAAAAAGAAAAGTAGCTCTAAATCACAGTTTGAAAAATGAACATCTGTAATTTAATTTTCAATGACCACTTGGCATGTAATGACATGGCTTTAAGATATATGTGCCTAACAGCGTGAATTGTGTTCATATGAGGATACTCATCATGGGGTCATCTGATTCCTTGGTCTGTACCTGGGCTTGGGTGATTGGCACTCTGAGTGACAATTCATCCTGGAACATATAGGCAAATCAGCTACCACCTTCTGGACAGAAGATGTTTCTATATTTCGAATTCACCGACAAATACTTAAATGCAAATACTTAATATTAAGGCATGATATATTCTTCTACAGTGGATACTCAGATCACAAAGAAATATTTTCCTTTCATTCTCCAATTTATCATTATTTAGACGTTATTTAATACCGAGATAGTCATCTGGCATTCATTTAAAAACCTGTTGCACTTGTACTTGGCTCAAAATAAGGTACCAATTAAAGAACCACTCTTCACCCCCTACATCCCAAAATTCATTGGTGGAGACTGATTTTCTGCCATGTCTCATGAAATAATCAAAGAAATACAACATAAAGCCATTATTTACCCCCATAGGGGAGAACGGAGCTCAGTCTTATAATGGACATTAACAAATTCCATGGTTTAAATTACAGATTAACAAAGGGTTCATGAGCTCAAAATTAAGTTATTCTGTTTAAAATCAATCACCGAGACTGTCATTCTGCTTATTGCTTTGACTTCCTAACAAAGGTTTAAATGAGGACTTTAGGTGCAAGTAAAGAACGTCAAGAGATCTGCTCTTTTTCAGACCTGCGTGGGCTGGAGGGGCAAACGTTTAGGCTATTAACGTAATTAGAATGAGGAATGTATTTTTCCAGAAAAAAAAAAAACTTCACCCCCCCAAAAAAAATCCCACAAATCCACAATTAATCTATTATCTGGGGGTAAATGGTAAGGAATCAAAGGTGGGGTGCGTTTAGAAAGCACTAGATTCACTGATACCAGCGCCATTCTGGAGAGGCCAGGCAGGAACTCTGGAATCCCTCTAACTCTTCAGTGGCAGGCACCAGAACTGGGGAGCAGGGTCTGGAAAGGCGACTTTACCTTTGCTAGCAAAACGCATTCCAACTGTAGTTTTGCAAAAAAGCGTATTTCCTTTGTCACTCAACCTCATGTTGGGTCACCACTCCAGCGCTGAGCAGCTCTGTGATGGCCCTGTCATCGTATCTGAGGACCTCCTTCAGGATGTGCGTCGTGTGCTGCCCAAGCAGGGGGGGCGGGCTGGCCTCTGACATCTTTAACTCACTGTATCTCACAGCTGGGCCTGTCAAAGGGGGAGGAATGCAGGAAACCTGTTAATGACTAACCCTCAGAAATTCATCACCCAAAAAAAAAAAAAAAGAAATTCATTACCCAAGCAGCCTGGGGTGTTTGCGGTGAATGCCAGGAATATCACTGCCGGTTACACCCTTGCAGATGGACCATCATTTTGGAAAGAACTGCATTTGCACACATGGCTTTTCTTGACTTAGCTTTATCCAACTGTGCAGTGGTCATCTGACCTGCCCACCACCATGCAGGGGGCCACATGAATATGCCTGGCCTGTCACAAAGACCCACAGGGGTAGGTCACTCAACTGAGTTGACTTTCTGGGTCCCAGAGAACAGTGGCCATGGGTACATAGTGTCTCTCTGAAGCTGGAAATCTGACCCCAGGTGAAGGTAACACAAAGGTTTACTACTCAGCATCTACTGTAGGGTTCCAAGATTCAGTTCAAAAGACCACAGATCAACTACACCTCAGCCAGACCCTGGGTGAAGCCTTTAGGTGGCAGAAGAGGTTATGGGTGCAAGCTTCATTGTCAGAGAGACTTCTGTTTGGATATCAGCTCTTCTACTTTCGAGCAGCGCCATCTCGGACTAATTACTTAACGTCTCTGAGCCTTGTGTTCTGCAACTAAACTGGGTATGATAAAGTTTACCACATAGACTTGATGTAAGGATTTAAATGAGATAATGGACAGAAAGCATGAAGTAAGCATCCCCTAACCCACAACAATGCACAAAACCTGCCGGCCACTATGATGACAAAAGCTGCCCCATCACCTCCCTTGATGCTTTGCAGTGCAAGGGGAAAAGGATGTTTATTGTCAGCTCTTTGCTGAGCACTGAGCCACTGCAAATAGGGTAACTCAAGAAATGCTTTCAACACCTGTTGGGAATGGATTTTATCATCCCCAATCTTCACATAATGACACTAAAGTTCCCAAAGCTAATAAGGTTTTGCTCAAGGTCACATGGCTAATAATTAATAGCACCAGGAAGCAAATCCATGTCCACCTGAGCTGTCTCACATTGAAGACCATGTACTTTCCATAACCTTAGCAGCCTCGTCTTGCTTCTCACTCTTCCATGGACAAGCTGGGGAACATGCTGTTTCAACAGATTTTACTTTTGTTGCCTCATTCAATAAATGGTATTTATGTTGGCTGTCCTTTACGTCTCACTTGATTAGGCTTCGGGAAAACAAATTAGGGAGTCACAAGGAGACTACAAAACAGTACATTTCTATCTCATAAAAATTCTTCCAGCCTCCTCTCGATTTGGGGAGCTCATAGGAAGAACAAATAAAACCAAAGCACATGTGGGTAACAGAATGTCAGTCAGTAAAGCAGCAAATGTGCTCCCGGCTCTTCGGAGAATTCCATTCAGAAAAGGTCATGTTGAGGAAGCCATTGTTGATGGAGAGAGAGGACACAGACCTCCTAAAACCATCCACCCCTGTCTGTCACCCATACCATGCACTCCAGATAAATGGCAACTTCCAACTGATTGCACAGTTTTCCTTCTCTGAAGCTCAGGGAAATTCCTTTTTTTTCCCCTTCTCACACTTCCTTTCAAATGCTCCAGTGTATGACTGTTTTTTCACGGGTTGGTCCCTTTTTAGGAAAGGAGCACACATTGGGAAGCAGTGTCCCCTACGCTCCCAGAAAAGCTGATAATTTGGTGTTTTATGGATGTGTTCCATTTTGACATTAACCATGGTTTTCATCTAAAACTTGTCTTTCAAAAGAAGGACTCTGCTGAGCGAATACAAGGCTGAAGTCGAAGTCAGGTATGTGTTCCTTTCCTACTGGATGACCTGAAGCAAGACGATCAACTGGAAGATAATCACTTGACTCTTCAGGAATCTGGGTTGAAACACAGCTACCATTTACTGCTATTGCTGCTGCTGCCAGGAGTATTAGCAGTGGTAGCTACCGTTTCCTAAGAATCTAGGATGTGCCAGCCACTGTGCCAAATGTTTTACATACATGATCTCCTATAATCCTCACGGCAATCCTGTATGGATGTTGACGGAGGTTTAAGGTAAAAGGGTTAAAGTTAGGATCCAGGTTAGAAAATGAGAATAACTTGCCCAACATCATACAGCTAGGAAAAGTTGTCCTAGTCCAGGTCTGTTCCAAGTCCAGGTCTGTTGGGTTTAGGAACTTGGAGTTTTGTTAAAAAAAGAATGGGTTGAGGTGAAATTCACATAACATAAAATTCACCATTTTCAAGTGAACTATTCAGTGGCATTTAATACATTTGCAACGCTGTGTGACTACCACCTCTATCTAGTTCCAAAATATTTCCATTGCTCCTGAAACGGAGCAGGACCCCACCTGTGGTCCTTGGCCCCCATGTCCTCCGCCTGCCTTTTGTCTGTGGAAAAACTTTAACCAAAGAATAAGTTTAATCAGAGAAATGAGAAAATGCAGAAACAAAGGAAAACCGTACAACAAGACTAAATAATAATAGTTGAGTCATTAAGCGCAGTTAAGGACCTTTAATTCCTTCTCAAGGGCTATAGATAATATTCTGAGCCCTATCCTGTGAGCTGTCTTATAGACGCTGAAACCCCATCAGGTGGAAGAAGTTAACTACGTGATGGCCAGACTGTAGCCGTGACATTAGCTGCCACAATTCCAAGAATTGGCCTCAAGGAAATGGGAACAAACCGACCCTGGAACTGAAGATTAACTGTACTTAAAACAATCAGGATGACGCTGGTCAGACCAGCGATGACCGATTTCAAGATGACTGTCAGAGCTGACTGTGCTGTTTCTGCATGTAGCCCCTTCCTTCAACCTATAAAAGCTCTTGCCCCCTGACTGTGAGGGGTGGAGTCGGCCTTTGGACAGGCATCCGCCCTCCCCCGCATGGCCCCCAGTCGCCGGCATGCAAAATCAGGCAGACTTTCCTTTCTGCCAACCTTGCCTCTTTACTGGCAAGCAGCCAGATCCCACTTTCAGTTACACTCTCAGCAAAACCCTCATCCCTTAAGCAGTTTCTCTCAATTCTCCCCTCCCCTCACGCCCCTGGCAACCACTAACCTTCTTTCTGTCTCTAGGGATTTCTCTATTCTGGATACTCCGTATCAATGAGATCATACAGTATGTGACCTTTAAGTGTCTGGTGTCCTCCACTTAGCATAATGTTTTTGAGATTCATCCACATTGGAGTACTGTGATATTGGTACTTCGAACTTGGGACTTTTAACCTCCCTGCAGGGATGATGTATAAGGGAATTCTTCAGGTCCAGCCATAGGAAAGGGCAGTTCAACTTGTGTCACCCTCACTATGCACCATCCTTTCCTGGGAGCTTCCAGATCCACACCGAACACTATGCTACCAAGTTTGGGATGAAGGGCGTTTAACACTTTGCACAAAAAAATCTTAGAGAATTTAGGTTGGTGGAATGGTATTACTTGGTAATTTTTAGACTTGCTAGGATAAAGACACCTGGAAGATACTATATATTTGGAAAGCTTAGGCTTCTTTAAATAAATATAAGTTACTAAGTAAGCCATACTGCAGTTTATGAAATTGTATATACTTTTTCATATGCCCCTTCAGAAACCAGGTATTTTGCATATGACTGATTTTAGGAAGATTCTGAAGCTGGGGTTTGTCCATGTAATTTAATATCAGAGTATGGTATAGGTATCTGTACTGTACTGGCCGTTTTCACATTGTAATTTTCTATACGTTTCCTAAATACAGCAGTGCTCCCTTATCTGTAGGGGATAGTTTCCAAGACCCCATGTGGATGCCTAAAACCACAGATAATGTCAAACCCTATGTATACTCTTTTTTCTTATCCACACATACTTATGATAAAGTTTAATTTATAAATGAGGCACAGTAAGTGATGAACAACTATAACTACTGATAACATAGAACAATGGTAACAATATACTATAATAATAAGTTATGTAAAAGTGGTCTCTCAAAATATCTTACTGTACATATTTAATGCTTTTTCCATCTTAACTAAGCACCTATGACACACTGTGGCCTTAACTTTTGCAGTTTGAGGTGTGACAGCAAAACTAGCACAAATTTCTTTTTCCTTCTTCACAATTTCACAGATAGAAGATGCGCTCTTACTGTAGATCTCAGCGACCTCAGCTTACAGTTTATTCTTCTTTCCTTATTAAGTTGAGAACGTTCACCTTTTCACTTAAAAGAAGCTCTTTACAGCTTCTCTTTGGCATATCTGAATAGCCAGCATCACTACTCTTGTGCTTTGGGAACATTATTCAGTAAAATAAGGGTCACTTGAACACATGTGCTGCCACTGACGGACAGTCAATCTGATAACCTGGAGGGCTACTAAGTGACTAACGGGTGGATACGCTGGACAAACGGATGATTCAAGGGACAGAGGGGGATGGCAGGAGAGTTCATCACTCTCCTCAGAATGGCACACAATTTAAAATTTATGAATTATTTTTTTCTAGAATTTTCTGTTTAATATTTCTAGACCACGGTTGACAACAGGTAACTGAAACTTTGGAAAGTGAACCTGGGGATGGGGCAGAGTGAGGAGCTACTGTGGAGGATCATTTTGCCACATGGTTCATAAAAACCAGAAATTTACAGTCCCGTAAAAATATACATAGACACGCACAGTGAGACAAGGAAGGCAATATCTAGATCCCAGAGAAAGCTAAGTTCTCATGGGTCCATTGAATCCTGTCCTTGTAACCCTGTGCAATAATCCTATGTACCTGGGACATCCCTCCCAGTCTAGGCTTTGCATGGAGGATTCTTCAACTATTTGTTTCAAGAAGTAGAACATGTTTGACATAATTATTTACATCTAAGGTCCAGAAAGAATGATCTGATTTTCTGTTTAAAAAAAACGATGAGCAGATAAGTCACATGTTCTTAAATTACTTTTGGGCAAAGCAATATCCACACCCGCATATGCTTTCAAACACTTGAAAGCTGTGTGATCTTGAGAATTCTTAAAAGTCCCCGAGGGCTTCCCTGGTG